ATGGTCTAGAGGGCTGTGCTAGCTGAAGCAGAGGAACGTGATCAGTTACGGATCAGGGGTTCACATAAGCAGCCTCGCGAAGATAATCCATCATCTTCCGGGAGTCAGTAGAAGAAGGTCAGGCAGGGAACAATACTCACTCACAGGGGGCATCGCAGTAGAATCATTCTACACCCACAGTTCCTGTATCTTCGGGATCAGCCCAGGGAGTGGTTTGTTACCATTGTCAGCAGCCGGGGCACATCAAGCCTCACTGCCCACAGCTTCGGGCACAGGCCAGTCAGACTTCAGTTTCTACAAAAAAAGGGCAGGGAGCTTGCTTCTATTATAAGTGACCAGGTTATCTCAAGAAGGATTGTCCAAGGTTGTTGAATAAGTCACGTGGTGGCACAAATTCACAGATGGTACCAGCTTAGTCTGTAGTGGGTCAGTCTAGTTCCAGAGTTCCTTAGGCACCACAACCGGTGGCGCCAGTTGGCACTTATCCAGCCAGGGGTTCTACACCTATTGCTTCTACACATCAGTCAGGCTATCAGGGCAGTTCACAGCAGGGCTCAGGGACTTAGGGATGATCCTACACTCTTCCACTGGCGGATGCTTCCGCAGGTACCTCTTCAGTTCGAGGTATCTTTCCAGTTTTCAGTTCTTGGGCACGAGTTCTTGTTAACACAGGTGCATCACATTCTTTCATTTCTACATCATTTGCACATTCATTGGGTCTAGAGGTCAAACTTCGGGATAGTCTTCTTTGTGTTGGCACACCAGTTGGGGGTCCAGTGTCTTTGGATCGTGTTTGTCGAGGTTGTGCTATTGAGATAGCTTGGCGGACCTTAGAGTTTGATTTCATTATTCTCGACATGACGGGCTTTTATGTCATTCTCGGGATGGATTGGTTGTCATTCTTCCAGGCTACGATTGATTGCTTCCGCGGGAGGGTGTCCGTTTGTACTCCTAAGGGAGATTGTTTCCATTTTGTGGGAGATTGGAGCGATTCCCACCTGGCGATGGTTTTCAGCATTGGTGACTAGAGTCGCCACAGATCCTACTTAGCTAGTTTGCTAGTTGACGAGGATAGCAGTGTGGGTCGTGTTCTTCCGGCAGTTATTGAGGATTTTGTTGATGTCTTTCCAGAGGAACTGACATAGTTACCTCCTTTAAGGAAAGTTATTTTTGCCATTGATGTCATTCCCGGTACAACGCCTATCTCTATGGCACCGTACCGTATGGCACTGGCAGAGCTTGATGAGCTAAAGGTTCAGTTGGATGATTTGAAAGCTAAGGGCTTTATTCGTCCTAGTGCTTCTCCATGGATTTGATGAACCGTGTATTCAGTGACTATCTTGACAGATTTGTGGCAGTGTTCGTTGATGACATTCTGGTATACTTGGCTTCGGTAGAAGAACATGAGTATCATTTGAGGACAGTGTTGCAGATCTTGGTGTTACGAAGATGTATCACAATTTACGGAGACAGTTTTGGTGAAAAGGCATGAAAGGGTATGTTTCTCAGTTCGTGGCTAAATGCCTTACTTGTCAGCAAGTGAAAGCAGAGCAACAGAGATCGGCAGGGTTGTTGCAACCATTACCAATGGCAGAGTGGAAGTAGGAGCACATTACTATGGATTTCGTGACGGGACTTCCGAGGTCTCAGGCAAGGAATAATGCCGTTTGGGTCATAGTTAACAGGTTGACTAAGACGGCTCACTTCTTGCCCATGGCAGTGACAGACAGTGCAGAGAGACTGAGTGACTGTATGTGAGGCAGATTGTCAGGCTTCACGGGGTTCCTGTATCTATTATTCCGGATAGGGATCCGCGGTTCACGTCTCACTTTTGGCAGAGTTTTCAAGAGGCTCTTGACATGGGGTTTCAATTTAGCACAGCATTCCATCCTCAGACTGATGGTCAGTCGGAGCATACCAGTCAGATATTGGAGGATATACTACGGGCTTGCATTTTGGATTTTGGGGGAAGTTGGCAAGACTACTTACTTTTGGTTGAGTTTGCCTACAACAACAGTTACCAGGCCAGTATCGGTATGGCACCTTTTGAGGCATTGTATGGCAGACCTTGCAGATCTCCAGTTTGTTGAACCGAGGTAGGTGATACAGTTGCCTTAGGTCCCGATATTATCTTTGAGACTACAGAAAAGATTAAGTTAATTCAGCAGCGGTTGGCTATAGCTCAGAGCAGGCAGAAGAGTTATGTTGATAAGAGGAGGAGATCCTTGTCTTTTGAGGTAGGGGACCACGTCTTTCTTAAGATTTCTCCACGGAAGGGACTTCTGAAATTTTGGCAGACGGGTAAGTGGTCTCCTAGGTTCATTGGACCATTTCAGATTTTGGAGCACGTCGGCGAAGTTGCTTATCGTTTGGCATCGCCGCCAAACCTGGATAGGGTTCACGATGTCTTTCATGTATCTATGTTGAAAAAGTACGAGCCGGATCCATCGCATGTTTTACGGTGGATATATGTTCTTATTGATGAGGATGTGACCTACGAGGAGGGTCCAATCTAGATTCTTGATTCACGGGAGCATGTTTTGCTGACCAAGACCATTCCATTAGTTAAGGTCTTGTGGAGACATTACGGCGTTGAGGAGGCTACTTTGGAGCTCGAACAGAAGGTTCGCTCTAGGTATCCCAATTTGTTTTCTCTTTTAGGTACGACCCGATTTCGGGGATGAAATCCTTTTAAGGAGGGTAGGTTGTAATGACCCGATCTTTTCCTCCTTTTCCTTTTTCGACGATATTCTTTTTTCGTCTTTTTCCTATTTTGTCTTTTCCTTATTTCATCTTTTTCCCGTTTATCATTTTTCCTTGCATAACCTCACTTTTTTGTGCTCGGATTTGATTCCGGTTTTGCATGCATTCATGATATTTGATTTCCATGATAGTGGTATTTTTACTTTTGTAGAAAAGCATGTTAATTGCTTACTTTTTTTATAAAGGGCATGGATGCATACTTCATTGTAATTATTCTTTATTTTTGGGGTTTTTGTGTAATTACATAAAGTAATTATTTTTCATCTTGGGGACCTTTTTGTAATTTATTTTGTAAGATATTTTCAAAAAGGACCTTTTTATAATTTTTAGAAAATGTGAGAAGTGTCACATTCTCATGTGCTACTTGTTGGCAATAGGGTGGAGTAACTTGGATGTATAATCTCTTGACATTTGGAAAGTGGAGATTCATCCACCTGTTGGCCTAGGATTGGTGTACTTGTTGGCTTAGATGGTTAACAAGTGTAGGCTTAAGATTAAGCCTAGGAAGGAGCCATTGATTTGTGACAAGTGTAGGCTCACAATTAATTCTTGCATTATGTGTGTGTGAGTGGTAGTGTAAGAGCACATAGTGAGTGAAGGAATACTAGATCCTCCACTCACCATTTTCAGCTTCATCTTTTTCATTTTTGTTTCCTCTCAAAACCCTAACCTAGCCACCATTGGAGAAAAGCTTGGTTAATAGCTTTGACTTCATTTTTGGCCTCCTTCCATTCACCCTAGACTTGAAACCTTGGAACACAAAAGTTTCCTCTTGCACTCCTCTTTATTAACCCTAAACTTGTTTTCCATTTTGAGCTTGGTTGCTTGGATTATAGAGATTCAATTCTCTATTGAGGTAGGGGTGGTAGTATGTTTATATTTTAAGTGTTTTATAATCCTTAGGGTTTAATATATATTGGGTACATGCTTTTAATATGATAGATTTGCATATTATAGGAAACCCTCACTTCTTGACTTACGGTTTATTGATTTAAGCATGTATAATATGTATAAACCATGTGTAGAAGGATTATATAATTTAGCAGTATGCTAAATTCTAGTATTTTCACACGTGTAGTGATATAGAACTCTTGTAGAATTACTAATGTTATATATGATTCCTGTTGACATGAATTGCTATATTTATAGTGGTGATAATTCTATGATCATGTTGATGACAATTGTGATTATTTTAGAAGCTAAATACTATAATGTTGTAATCTAGTATATATAGCATATTGTTGAGGCATGATTTAAATTGATAAGTTGGTGGTTTTGTATTGTACAAAATATCATGATGAGGACTTGTCATTTCGTATGCCATTTTAGACTTGGAACCCTAAGACATGGTTTGTGTGTTTCAAAATAATTGTGCATGGAAGGTGGTTAATGATGAGGAAATCAACAAAAGAGGATAAGGTTATAAGGTGATAAGGTTCGAAAGGTTGTTTTGATATGATTATATGAAATTCAAATTACCGACAAAACCTCTCCTTTAAGATTGCAACAAACACTCGACTCAGTTAGCTGTAAAAAACAGACTCCTGTCAACTAAAGGGGTACGTGTAATATTGAACTTCACTTCATGATTTACTTATTTTTATTTTCGTCTGTAAACTGACTTAGCCATCGGAGCTCGTTTGGCAGGCATCACATCGGTGTCAAGAGAAAACATCGTCATTTCGGATCGATGCAGACCAATCTTCATCAGTTGGCGCCGTCTGTGGGAAACTTGGGATAGTTCTTTTTAAAAAAGGATTATGGTCTTACGATCCGGATTTTAGCGCGGTGAGGGAACATCGTTGCAGGCCTCTAGTGAGGAGGAAGTGCAGGGGGAATCCCCTCACATCCCAAATGACCTAGAGCGCGTCGCAGCGTTGGAACAGCAAATTCAAACCCTGAATCAGGGAATGAATGAGCTGATTTGGCAAAATGCGATGATCCTACAACGTTTTGTTCCCCCAAACCCACCTCAAGGGCAAGGTCGTCACCATAACGAAATCCCACCTTAAGATCAGCCCAAGCTAAATGCTGAGGAGGGAAATCTTGAGGTGCAAGGTAACGAGCCTTCCCTTGAGGAGGCTTTTGCAGAGCATAGCCAAATTGCTGATCAGCATAGGGTGACAGGTCACCCATCTCCCCCACGTAGCTCTAGGCCATTGACCTCTACCTACGTTGGTGAACGGACTGAGGAGGTCACCCACATCGACTAACAGATCCAGAACCTCAATGCCAAAATGGAAGATGTGATGCAAGCTATGAGGGGAAAAGGCTTCGCTACCACCATAGATGACCTTGTTCAAAAAACAAATTTTCCATTTAGCCCGACTATCATGAGATGTCCTTTGCCTAGCAAGTTCAAGATGCCAACACTTGAAAGCTTTGATGGGACTCGTGATCCTCTTGATCACCCGGAGACTTTCCAGGCACTTATGCATCTCGAAGCTGTACCAGACCAGATAATGTGTCGGGCCTTGTCTAATACTCTTAAAGGGTCGGCACGGGTCTGGTTTAATAAATTAAAACCAGGCTCGATCGAGACCTTTGTAGAGCTGAGCAAGGGATTTGTAAGTCATTTCATTGTAGGTCAAAGGCACAGGAGGCCAGCCACTTACCTGCTTACCGTGAAACAACAGAAGGGAGAACCATTATGGGAATATATCAATCGGTTCAACACCGAAATGCTGCAGGTGGATGAAGCTGATGACAAGGTAGCACTCACCGCCTTCATGGGAGGATTGCATACATCTAGATTCCTTTTTTCCTTGTCAAAGGAACCTCCAACCAGTATGGCAAAATTACTGGTTAGAGCCAGGAAACACATGAATGTGGAGGATGCAATGAGTGCGCGAAAGGGGAAAGAAGGAGAAGATAAAAAGGCGGATAAAAAGAGACCACAGCCTAGTGCCAAGGGTGAGAAGGAGACCAAATTCAAAAAGTCTTCAATCAATCAAAGTGAAAGGACATCTCGTTACAGGAGCTCAGATAAGTATACCAACTACACCCTACTCACTATGTCTATAGATCAGGTTTTAATGCAGATTCAAGATGATCCCTCCCTGAAGTGGCCATCGAAGCTGAAATCTGATTCCTCAAGAAGGCCTCGAGACAAATATTGCAGGTTCCATAGAGATCATGGGCATATCACGGAGGATTGTATCGACTTAAAATATCAGATTGGGAATTTGATTTGAAGGGGTCACCTGCGAAGGTTTATGGCAGGAGATGATAGATGAGGTACTAATCCCACACAAGGGAGGCGGGACAATCATCCATCAGAACAACAACCAGTAGGTGAGATCAGAGACATATCCGGAGGGTATGCAGGAGGAGGTGAAACAGCCAAGGCCTGAAAAACTTATGCAAGAAGAGCAAGAGCAGAGGTGAATGAGGTGGGAATGTTCAACTCTCCATCAAAAACACCAAGGTATGCTGATACTACCATTATGTTTTCAGAGACTGATGCTAAAAGGATCCAGTAACCCTATAATGATCCTCTAGTTGTCTCAATGGTCGTAGCTAACTACACCATAAGACGTATACTTATCGACAATGGGAGTTCAGCTGATATAATATTTTCCCATATATTCGACCAAATGATGATAGGCCGGGAAAGGTTACGACCCATGAATTCTCCTCCGTGGGGTTTTTAGGAGATAAGGTGTATCCATTGGGAGCAGTTACCTTTCCAGTGACTGCAGGAACCAGCCCAAAGCAGGTCACTTTTATGGTTGATTTTATAGTGGTGGATTGCCCTTCAGCGTATAACATTATTCTTGGGAGGATAGCCCTAAACTCTATTAGAGCCATTACTTCAACTTACCACCTTCTGATACGTTTCCCAACAGTGCATGGGGTGGGTGAGTTGAGGGGTGACCAAGCCACCGCTCGGGAATGCTATCTCACTTCTCTCAGAGAAAAGATGTCCCAGGAAACTATGATAATTGAAGAGTTAGAGGTAAGAGGCCAGGAGGAGGTAGAAAAGCAGAAAGTTTGACGAGCTGAACCGATGGAAGACCTACTATATGTGAGCTTGGATGATGAGGCTGAGAAGAAAGTGAGCATAGGATCCTTGCTTCGACCTGGCATAAAGGGTAAACTCATTTAATTTCTTAAGCAAAACCAGGATGTGTTCACTTGGACTCACGAGGACATGCCCGGCATAAGTCCGGCCATAATACAACATCATTTGAATGTTCATCCCAGCTTTAAACCCATCAGACAGAAAAGAAGGACATTCACCTCTGAAGAAAACCAGGCTATACCGGAAGAGGTGGAGAAACTATTGAGAGCTCACTTTATTCAAAAGGTACATTATCCTGATTGGTTGTCAAATGTGGTCCTCGTAAAGAAAGCCAATGGGAAGTGAAGATTATGCGTAGACTTTACAGACTTGAACAAGGCCTGCCCAAAAGATAGTTTTCCTCTCCCATGTACTGATATGCTAGTGGAAGGAACTGCAGGACATGAAGTGCTGAGCTTCATGGATGCATACTCCAGATATAACCAGATTCCAATGTGCCAACCGGACATAGAAAAAACCTCATTTATTACTGATCAGGGTTTGTATTGTCACAGGGTCATGCCATTTGGGTTAAAGAATACAGGAGCAACATACTAAAGGTTAGTCAACATGATGTTCAAGCAGCAAATCAGACAGAACATGGAAGTCTACGTGGACGACATGCTAGTGAAAAGTTGGAAGACTGAAGATCACCTAGCAGACCTACGAAAAACCTTCGAAGTGTTGAGGAAGCATAAGATGAAACTCAACCCCAGCAAGTGTGCTTTCGAAGTTGCCTCAGGGAAATTCCTTGGGTATATGGTGAGCAGAAGAGGAATAGAGGCTAATCCAAAAAAGATCCAAGCTGTTCTGGATATGAGGTCACCCAAATCCACGAAGGATCTCCAGTGACTCACGAGGAAGATTGCTGCCCTGAGTAGACTGATTTATCGAGCAACTGACAGATGTTTACCTTTCTTCCGTACCCTCAAAAAAGCATTTGAATGGACACTAGAATGTGAGCAGGCATTCATCTCTAAGTTCAACTCTAATGTGAGAGGATGATGGGGTTCAGAAGCCGGTGTATTACACAAGTCGGGCACTTAGGGGTGCCGAGGAAAGATATCCGAAAATGGAGAAATTAGCATTTGCCTTAGTTGTGTCAGCTAGGAAACTCAGGCCTTATTTCTAAGCTCATAAGATAGTGGTACTAAAGGACCAACCTCTAAGGCAGGTTCTCCACAAGCCAGAGACTTCAGGTCAACTTATGAAGTGGTCAATAGAACTCGGGGAGTTTGACATCCAGTACAGACCCCGGACTGCAATAAAAGCTCAGGTGATAGCAGATTTTGTTGCTGAGTTCACACCTTCCCAAGAAGACCAGATCAACATTTACCCAGAAGCAAACCCTCAGATTCAAACGGATAAAAAAGCTACTTGGACTCTGTTTGTTGATAGGTCATCAAATGCACATGCTAGTGGAGCAGGGTTGATCATCACCTCCCCAGCAGGAGAAAACATTGCCTATGCCCTTCGGTTTGGCTTCAAAGCAACAAATAACAAAGCATAATATGAGGCCCTCATAGCTGGGTTAAAACTGGCGGAAGTCCTCAGGGTGGAGCAGCTCATAGCATACACAGATTCTCAGTTGATAGCAGGGCAAGTCCAAGTAGAATACAAAGCCAAAGATGAGAAAATGAAGGCCTACTTAAAAAAGGTAGAAGAATTAAAAAATCATTTCATGAGATTTTCAGCCCATCAGATCCCACGTGAAAAAAATGCAAATGCAGATGCTCTAGCTAGATTGGCTACCGCGTTAGATCCAGAGGTGAACAGGGCAATACCATTGGAGTACCTGGATAAGCCCAAAAAGTTCAAAAGGAGGTACAACAGTTGATGCTCAACATGGGATGGGCAGAGCCTATCATAAAATACATTAAGGAGGGAGAACTTCCTAAAGACAGAAATGAGGCCCGAAAAGTTAAAATTCGAGCAGCAAGGTACACCCTCATCAAAGGGGTGCTGTACAAGAGGGGTTTTTCTTTACCCTACCTGCGTTGCGTCTCAGCTGAGGAGGCAAGGTACATTCTAAAGGAGATACACGAAGGAAATTGTGGTAATCATGCTGGGGGTAGGTCTTTAGCACACAAAGCTATCCGACAAGGGTATTATTGGCCTACTATACAAAAGGATGCTACAGACTATGTGAAAAAATGTGATAAATGTCAACGGTTTGCCAATGTTCCAAAATAACCACCTGAAGAGCTGACTCCCATGACAGGTCCATGGCCTTTCGTACAATGGGGAATGGACCTTATAGGTCCATTGCCCATGGGAAAGGGCCAGGTCCAGTATGCCATTGTGGCTATAGACTACTTCACCAAGTGGAGAGAAGCTGAGCCACTAGTAAGTATTACAGAGATGAACATAAGAAATTTTGCTTGGAGGTCAATCATTTGCAGGTTTGGAATCCCAAGAGTGTTCATCATAGATAATGGAAAGCAATTTGATTGCACAAAGTTTAAGGATTTTTGTGCTCAACTAGGGATAAAGAACCACTACTTATCACCTAGACATCCTCAAGCAAATGGACAGGCTTAGGTGGCGAACAGATTGATACTTCAGATGATAAAGAAGAAGCTTAAGGATAAGAAGGGAACATGGCCTAAAAATTGCCCAGCGTATTGTGGGCTTACCGTATAACTGCAAGAACCCCCACAGGGGAAACACCATTCCTATTGGCCTTTGGAAGTCAAGAAGTTATTCCTGCTAAAGTCGGTGTAACCAGTTTCAGGACTGAGCATTACGAGCCACGAGCAAATGAGAGAGAATTACTATTAAGCTTAGACTTGATTGAGGAAATAAGGGAACTAGCTCAGATTTGAATGGCAGCTTATCAACAAATGGTGTCTAGATACTATAATGCCAAGGTCAAGCCAAGAAGTTTCAACTTGGAGACTTGGTACTTCGCAAAGTCACCCCAGCAACTAAAACCCGAGGGGAAGGTAAGTTGTCCACTAATTGGGAAGGACCTTACAAGGTTATTAGCACCAACAGACCGGGGGCATACTGGCTTGAAACTTTGGGAGGGCATCAGATGGAACACCCTTGGAATGCTGAACATTTAAGGAGGTACTACTAGTAAAAGATTTGTGTGGCTGATTTTATTTATTTATTAATAATAAGAAGAGCTAGCTTGATAGCATAGCTTTATCTTCTAGTAATGTTATGTCCTTTCTGAATAATTTCACTTTCCAATAAAAAGGGATATCATGTCTTCTTCTAATGGTGTTCTTTAATGGTTTTTATTATGATGTCATTCATTTTTTAGACTCTTTTACTATTGATAATACATCAATAAAATGAGCACAAAATATTTGATAAAAGGTGAAATCAGGCTACTCTACCCCCTTATTAAAGGGCAAGCTAAATGAAGCTCGTAAAACTCATTCCCTTATTAAAGGGCGAGCTGAGTGAAGCTCATAAAACTCATTCCCTTATTAAAGGGTAAGCTGGGTGAAGCTCGTAAAACTCATTCTATATATATATGTGTGTGTGTGAGAGAGAGTATTTGATGTCTACTTCAATATTAAAAGTTAAGGGGCAAAGCACGGAAGTTCAAACAACACCATTTTATGATAAAAGAAGTGTATTTTTACTATTAGAAGAATGACGAAACCCAACTAAACAATACTCAGTACAATGAGGAGTCCTAAACTAAAAGGAAAAGAGATAGGAGATTGAGCTAGTCATTAACCTCGCTATCACTCTCTAACTGAACTGAAGAGATTGAGCTAGTCATCAACCTCATTATCACTCTCCAATTGAATTGAAGAAAAGTTCAGTCTCAGAAAATTAGAAATGGCCTGACCTCGAAAAGCTTCAAAATCGTCGATATACATCCTAGCTTGGGCCACTTTGAAGCTATGGGAAGCCTTGTACTCTTCAATAGTTGATGACCTAGCCAGTGCTATCTCTCTAGTAAGTCTTTTCACTTAAGATTTGAGTCCTTCAGCCCTATCTCGTTCTTCTTGAAAGGCAGCTTCAGCTTTGACCCGCGCATCTTTCTCTACATTAAGCTCCATAGTAACCAAATCAAGTTGATTTTGGTGCTTGGTATAGAGAGAAGCCATTTCCTCACGGAATGATTTTTCCACTTCCACAGCTCGAGATGATAAGCAGACAGCACACGTGATGCACTACAAAAATGCAAGTTACAAGTTAAAAAAAAAAAAAAAAAAAAAAAAAGAAAGGTGGTTAAAGTGGTCAGGAGCTAACCTTGCCAAGATCATGCAGTAACGTTTTTGCCACCTCAGATGAAGGAAGAGAGCTCAATCGAGTCAAATCTTCCTTCACTAAAAAATTCTTTGTTCGTTCAAATGAAAAACTTGGGCTATCCAAAACTGATGTGTCGAAAGTGGAAGGCTCCCCAACAGGATGAGACATACGAGCTTGTACAGCAGCATTGACCGAACCAACGTACTGAGGTAAAGGTCGAGAAGGCAGATGAGAGACGTCAAACATCGGTATGTTCCCACTAGTCATAGTTTTAGACTCGCGCTTCCTTTTAGGAGAAGTGGGATGGGGGAGATCATTTGATTCCCGAGCTTGATCAAGAATTTTCTTGCTGAATTTCTTTAACATACCTTTTTCTTTTTTCTTTTTTTTTTCTTTTTTTTTTTTTTAAAAAAAAAAAAAAACACTTTAAAATAAGTATACAATAAATAAATTCGTAAATAGGAGAAAGGTGAGATCGGCTTTATATTAAAACTGTTGCTCAACTCAATCAATAAGACCTACTGGAGCAATAACACCAAGATTAGTCTCTTAAGAATCTCGAACTTTGTTTTTCCTTATTTGTATGATATGCATATATTACTCATCCATACAACCCACTTGACAACTAATGGATTCCTATTACATATAAGAACTGATAATGCATAAGGTAGATTTTAGTATATAAAAATAGACATTAAAAGCCCATTGACCTGGGACATTTTTTGAAAAAATTCTCCAGGTCAATGAGCAATATTCTTGGTAAAAAAATGGGGTATTGCTTAACTGCTTTCGAGGTAAGGCACCAAACAAGTTAATACATTAATATTGCATATTCACAGTATTAAGAAACAACATAAAGAAGTGAACTCCACATTAGGTATAAATTCATACCATATACTGGAAGATAGCAAGTGAATAAAATTCATACCATATACTGGAAGATAGTAAGTAAATAAAGAATTCTTTATTTTTTCCTTGCTAATTTCGGCTTGATATTTTCATGATTACCTTTTATATACACAACCACTCTTACATGTATATTTAATATTACATATAGCCTATAGACAGGATAAAACTAAAGATTTTTT